TATATATATATATATATATATATATAGCATAATTCGATGCATCATTTTAGCCAAAGGAAGCCCATCCCATATTGAAAGAGAACGGTATTTGTAAGTTATTGAAATTATAGTCAATTGCTAAAAATTTCATTACCTTTTACATAGGAATACTCTTTTATGTCCAGGGCCAAGCGCAGCATTTTTCTCTTCTTGTCGTTAGATATTGGAAGCAATAAGTCATAAATGCACTCATTGTAAATTTCAAAAAAAGAAACCCAGACTGAGAATTTTACACCACTCTGGTCTTCGAAGTCAGACTGGTCTGCTTCTTTTTCTGGTTCTTTCTTATCTGGCAAAAAATTGGAATAAGTCATAATGTAAAACCATATTATTCAGTAGCGGGCAATTGGTATGGAGGATGCAACCTCAGCTTGGATATATTGCAGTTAGCTCTTAGAATTTGCCAGCTACAGCAATGAATTCAACAATGTGACATTCACTTTTTACACTAACATCAATAATGCTTGATTTGGCTTTAACATGTTATACAGACCCAGAGTTCGTGATTGGCACGGTATAATATATGCAGAAATTGTCTGGACTCTGTTCACTTCTTTGTCCTGATCCTACCAATCCCTTGAATAATAGTCCCATCACACTATTCCAAAGTCGAGGGTGGCCTTGGTGACACTAGCTGCACATCATTTGTGAACCCAACCGTCTTCAGTAAACAATGGTTTAGCAAATGAGTATGAGCCACCTAACTTACCTTCACAATTATCTGTTGTTCTACTACTGTTGCTGTTGCAATCTACCTGAAAATTAAGTCAGGAACAAAATTTAGATTGCCATAAATTCTTTGTTAGAAGTTTCTCTTCATCATCCCTTGTATCTTAATATTCTGCGATAACCAAAAACAAATAAAATCAGATCACAGAGCATTCACCTAATGTGTACGGCGTCCATCAATTGTAATATAACCCCTGAATATCACCCAAACTGACAGAGAGGGGGGGTGGGGCATATGCATCAATCCATCAATCAGGCAATATTTTAATCCTTGTCCTTACATTCTATTTAATATTTCCTTATTGTCAAACACATTATTTTTTCTGGGTTTATTTACTAAAAGCTGCTAAAAATGTGTGTGTGTTTGGTTCTTTTTGGAGTCACAATACCTCTTTCAGGAGGCGAAGCAATGAATTTTTTAGAGATATTTCTTCTCGGACTTCTTCTTTAGACAGATTTCTATAATCTCTACATCGATGGGGCTTGAGATTCATATCTGGATACAGTTTGTTTTCAATGCTTTGAAATAACATATCCAGACTCCTGGGGAGAATGCCTTTATCTTCATCTGTACCTGGCATATAGAATTTAAGACTTAGGTAGAATTTGAAGCTGTTGGAGCAGAGATAAAGAAAGCTTGAACTTTTTGACCTAAATATATTTTGAATGACTGTTATTATCCCCCAATCTGTTGCTGGCCAGGTATGTTAGACCCTATCCTCTATAACTCCTGGCCAAGGAAATCCAAAATATTTGCTGGACCCGGATTGCAGAAGGCTGAACTGGAGCCATCCTTCAGGCAAATACAATACAGTTTTACAACAGAGAGCATATATGGATTTGCTTGGCTTTTAAATGAATAAAAAGCACCAAGTGTTTTTACTGCTTGGAACTCACTTAATTCATTATATAGTAGTGAGCCCTATTTGCATTCAGTGGGACTTACTCCCAGATTATATGTATTGATAATTTCCTTGCCACCAAAAACAAAACAATGGAAAACATTCCATGAATTCAACTCATTCATTAGCATTATATCATTTAGATGGAAAATGTTTCCTTGTTCTTTTTTCTCCTCCTTTCTTCCTACTGAAAAATACTTGTGAGTCCTGAGATAGCTTTTCTTTTAGCTGTTTGCATTTTTCCTGGCCAGATGTATCAACACTGACATGGCCAGCATGGGGAAATGGAACACACCCTTCTGATTCCTGGATTTATTTATTCCTTATTACAATTGAGAATGCTAAAAGACTTGACTAAGACAACTGAGGAGTTTAAGATTAGAGCACCATGATATTAGATCCTGGCTTACTTTTCATTTTAAATATATACCCTATTACAGTGACTGAATTCAAGAAGGGCACCTTCCGCCAGCTGAGTGAAAGGGCTATAACCGAATAGCAGAGCGCACATTTTGCATGCAAGACCCAATCTCTGCCAACTACTGTTTGAAACTTGGGTTGAAGAGATAGGAAAGATGCCTTAAAGGTTTAAAGTACCCATGTTTTCCCAAAAATAAGACCTGGTCTTCTTTTTTTACCACCAAAAAGACACCAGGTCTTATTTTCAGAGGATGTCTAATTACTGATTCACCTCACGGCAGTGGCACCAACAGCCCCGCCCAGCAGGAACACGCTGCTGGCCCATTTCTTCTGCGGCTGCTTGCCACCACTCGCGCATGTCAACCCCAGCCTCAGTTTCACTGACAGAGGCCTTCCGGAATGGCCTCTGCAGCCGATAACAGGGCTCCGGATTGATCTGGAAACAAGTGGCCGCAAAAGAAGGGGCTGAAAGGCAAGCAGTGTCAAGGTGTGTGAGGCCTGGTAAGTAGGGCAGCTCCACCACCACCCCATCCCCACTCTAGCTTAGTTTTTACCCATGCACCTCGCCCCACCCCACGCACCCCGGAATGGATGGGATCTTAATTAGGGCTTATTTGGGGGGTAGGGCTTATATTAGGCTCACATGTAAAAATCAAGCTAAGGCTTACTTTTGGGGTAGGTCGTATTTTCAGGGAAACAAGGTAGCTGTCAATGAAATATAGAAAAGTCTGAACTTTTCATCTTCTCAAATCTAAATACCCCCCAAAAAGTAACAGCTGGAACTGTGTAATTATTATATGTCACTAAGAGAACAATAAGCAACCTTAGCTGAAATGTAAAGCTTAAATAAATCAAGGTTTCTCAGATGTACCTAGGTAGGTATGTGTTTTCCCAGCATTTGTAACACCGTAAGTGAATATTAGTCGACTGTGTCCCTTTAGGAAATCCAACATAGGCTGCTTCACAGCACCATCAAAGAGTTCTTCTTGTGTTGTTTTGGGCCCAAATACCTAAGAAATATACAAGAAACGTCTTTAAGTTTTCAATTATAAAAATTGCAGAAAATATATTGAGTCTTCACTTTTAAAAGCTTTTTTGATTGTTTAATAATTCTGTTAAACATCCATAACATTTTCATATTACTAATAAGGAAACTGGCCATACCTGGGAAAAAGTATATTTCTGCACCAATTGCCGCAGGTTTTTTTCACTAAGGCGAAATGTCTTGGAGCCTTTAGGAGCTTTTAATATAATACTTGTTGAGTCAACGACAGAAACACAACCCTATAAGAAAAATTGGGGGGCAGGAGGAGGGAAGAGAATCCTTTAGAGCTATGCAAATAACATAATTTTAATGAAGTTTTGCTTTTAGCTCTTTTAGCTGAATAATACCTGAGTATCATGTTCTTTTTCCAACTCTAAAATTGGTTTGACCCGAAGGCAAACATGAATTCGTTCTTTGGATTCCAGGCTCTCTCTCTAATTAAAAGAAAAAGTGATACAAATCTGGTTCGTGCCCAATGATTTTCGAATGCTCCAAACTTACAACTGCAGAGAACATTTTTCCTCTTAGTCAAGCCTTTTCCCATAGTTCTTTCTCTTCATCTCTCTCATACACCAAGAATAAACTTTTCACTTATAGCAAAGCCTTGTCAGTCCTTAACTATGAAAAAGCCCACTGGCTATTCCTAAATGCACTATATTGATACCTCTCATTTTTGTGCAACATAAGACAGCATGTAGGGTATTACTGTCAGCTATTTTTAAAAAGGACGTTATATTACTGTCCCAAGATTTTAAGCCTTTGAATTCAAGACATGACCATTGAAACAACAACTTAAATTTAGGGCAGATGAAACTCCCCATTTGGTTCCACGTAATTTCTGGAATATGTTGTCTTAGTGTCAATTTTTGCCGCCATATTCTCAAGGCGTATCTTTTCCACCAGCAAAACAGTAACTACGTGCTTCTACCTTAACAATAAACTAGCATACGAAGCCCTAAGGATCTACTTAAACAACAATTTACTCCCCTGTAATCCCCATCCAAAGTACCTCGATATATAACATTGGACTGGGCTCTCTCCTATAAGACAACTTAAAAAAATAATAATAATAAAGATTGAAACTGTGTTAAGTCTTCTGTCAACACCTGACTAGTTTAATCAAACTGTCGAATCAATTTTACCACATTTACTCAAATATCCTATGCCATTTCCTAAGCCATTATTTCCCTAGTTATTTAAGATTTTTCTTTAAAAAAAAATCTTCCTCTCACTGTGAAACAGGATCTTTGAGCATAAAGGAGATCCCAAGCGTGTTAAGGCCCCATTACCAGGTTATAATAACATCTATTGATTCTTGATATTGTTTCTTGGCTGCTGTACACATTGTATATATTGCATCACGTTTGCAATTGATTTAATTGATTTAGGATTGTTCATCACCCCAAAGTCATTTGTTTGATATGGGTGGTCATAGAAACGGAATAAATAAATTTCCAGTGCTTGTTTTCTTACCTGGCTTATATTGAAAGTTGAAGAAAAATCACCATATAGATTTTTTTTAACATCAGTAACATCCACAAGTTCAGGTCTTGGGGATAGCTCAACTGATGAAAGAAAGGAAGGTCTGGGAACTGTTTGTTTATCCAGATCTGCCTCCATTCTACTAGAATACAAAAAAGAACTTGAAGATAGATTACCCAAGGCACTGTAGAGTTGACAATTATAGCATAGATGTATTTTTGCAAACAACTCAAGGGGACATACACATGGAACACATCTTCCCTTATTTTTTCTCACGACATAGCCAAAAAGGCGTTAAGAGTTGTTAACCTAATCTTATGTAGCTTTTTCTCTGGTAATATTACACTAATAACTAGAGCATACAAAACATTTGCTAGACCAATACTCGATTACAGCTCATCAGTCTGGAACCCACATTACGTATCTGATATTAACACAGTTGAGAAAGTCCAGAAATATTTCACAAAGAGTTCTCCACTCCTCTACTCATTGCAGAATACCTTATGCCACCAGACTCGAAATTCTAGACCTAGAAAATCTAGAACTATGCCACCTTCGGTCCGATCTTAGTATATAAAATCATACATCGCAATGTCCTTCCTGTCAATGAATACTTCAGCTTCAACCGTAACAATACAAGAGCACATAATAGATACAAACTCAAGGTTAACCGCACCAAACTTGATTGCAGGAAATACGACTTCAGCAACAGAGTGGTCAACGTCTGGAATACTCTACCTGACTCTGTGGTTTCTTCCCAAACCCCAAAAACTTTAACCTTAGACTGTCTACTATTGACCTCACCCCTTTCCTAAGAGGTCTGTAGGGGGCGTGCATAAGCGCACCAACGTGCCTACCGTCCCTGTCCTAACCGCTAGATAACCAATCATACATGGAGGTAGGGAGGAAAGAAAAAAAGGAAAAACATAAAGAAGTGGAGAGTGATGGGAAGGATGGAAATCCCAGCTACAAAGTAGGAGATATAAGAAACATACTGTCAGGTCCCATATACAGTATTTCTATTGGGACGCTGGAATTCTGGTGGGAGGGGGGAGGATTGGAGAGATCTCTATATTAAGTTTCTGTTTCCTGCATTGTCATACTGTGGGAGGGGTTTTGTTTGCACTGCTTCAAATTGCTGTTTTTAAGTGGGGAAATTTAGTTCCTGCCTAGACCTCTTGCTATCACAAGCCTTGCAATAAAAGCTCCTTTGGGAACAACTTCAGTTTCAAGAATCCTGCTTTCTTGGGAAGATTGGAGAGACAAGACTTTACACATACCCAAGACCCATCAAGGACTCAAATGCCGATACTTGAATGCTAAAAAGTTTAGGGAACAAACAAAAAACAAGGTGAACTTGAAGTACTAGTACATGAAGGTAAATATGATATCGTTGCCATTACTGAAACATGGTGGGGTGAAACTGATGACTGGAATGTACTGCTAGAAGGATGCAAACTATTCAAAAGAAACAGACCTAACAAAAGAGGAGATGGAGTTGAATTATACATAAAAGATTACTACATTTCTGTAACATTACTATAGGCGTACACTACAGGCCACCCAACCAAGCAGAAGAAATAGATGAACTTCTTCCTAGACAACTAACAAAAGTACATAGGAAACATAAAAGATCACTACACCTCTGGAAAAATCCACAAAACCAAGGATGAAAACCTCCTACAATCTGTGATGACCCGGGGCGTAGCACAAAGGCAACACAGTCCCATAAGTAAGAAGAGTCCGTTTAGTACCTCCAACTTTGCCCCCAGTGTCCCGGTTACCTTCGGCTGGAGAAAAAACTCTCCCAAGAACAGTCTTTAAGTGGAGGAAATTCAGCCCAAAAACAAAGGGCATACAAACTGTAAATAAAAATCCACACAAACCACAGCTGCAGTAATTAACTTGACAGGGCAGGAGAAGGAATTGCAGACTTGAAAGGCCAGCAAAACACACACAGTTCGGAAGATGCCAGGAACCCAGATAAGCTTTGACAATACCAGATAATTCACGATTTGCTCCCAATGGTTTGCTGTGCACAATTCCCCTTTTTAAACGCTGTGTTCCCAGCTACAGCTAATGAAGGGAATCAGGAAAGGGTTCCTCCCCCATAAGTCACGCAACCCACGTTGCTCCCTTCTCCGTTCCTCCCTGCGTGCCCTAGAATGCATAGGGAGTGGGCCTGGGTCTTCCTCTGAATTGCCTCTCCCTTGCTCTACCGCTCCCCTGCTCTGCCCAGCCAGACTTTGCCCTTCCCCAGTTTCTTCCACAGCCAACGGAGCCACATTCCCACTCCCTGTCAGCTGCTCAGCCTCCCCCTCTGAATCAGATTCCGAGGGGCATGACAAAACCCATATGGGCCAATATAAAAGGAAAAAAGAATGACATTGCTATAGGCATATATTACGAACCACCCAACAAAGTAGAAGAAATAGATGAACTTTTTGCTAAACAATAAATGTATGTTGGAAACATACCACAGTAGTAATGGGAGACTTTAACCATCAACTGGGAGACAAACTCTGCAGCAAGCGCGGGAGATTGAACAGATTCCTAACCAGCCTAGCTGACAACCTTGTCATCCAAAAGGTAGAGGAAGGAATTAGAGGAAAAGCTATACTGGACCTAATTCTTAATAATAGAGAAGTGACAAAGGAACTTGAAGGTGCCAGAACTTTGGGCGAGAGTGACCACATCATATCAGAATTCGGTATAACACAAACACAAGCAATAGAACATAATCTAGCATTTTAAACCTTAAAAGAACTGACTTTAACAAACTCAGAGAGAGGCTAAGAAAAATTCCATGTATGAAAATCCTAAAGGGGAAAACAACTCAAGAAGCATGGGAAACTGAAAAATATGATCATAAAAGCCCAGTCTTGCACAAGAAAAAGAAAAAGAAATCCAAGAAGAAACCAGCATGGTTGCACAAAGATCCCTCTGATAAACTGAAAGAGAAAAAAAAAAACAAGTACAAAAAAATGGAAAGAGGGACACATAACTAAGGCAGAGTATCAGCAGATAGCCTGAACTGGCGAAGATGAAATCAGGAAAGGCTAACATCAATATCTGGGAAGATATTGGGAAAGATAATCGAAAAACAGATCTGCAAACATCAAGAAGCAAAGTTATAACTAAAAGATGGGTTTGTTAAAAACAGATCATGCCAAACCAGTCTTATTTCATTTTTTGACAAAGCGACCGTCAGATCCCTAAAAGTGATGCTGCCATTCAGTTGCGAGAAGGGGGGAGGGCTTGAATTCGATTCATTACTATTGCCTGTAACAACTGGTATTTTATAATTTGTATCCTGGCACTGAAATGCCCTGAGAAATTCTCACCTCTTAGGGAATGTGGTAGGGGGGAGGGCCATGTGGCTTGTTTCATTTCGTCTTCATCAAGGCATTCAACAAAACAGACCACAGCCTACTTCTGACAAGAGCTTATTTCTGCCCATAATGTTGCCTTTGTCTCCACCCCTTAAGTGAGATGGGCTTAAGTATCCCTATTCAACTGTGCCAATAGGAATAACATTACCAAACTAAGGTCCCTTCCTCATTGCTGAGTAGAAGCGCTCTCTACCCACCTCTTACTTGGCAGCTCTTTAATAAGAGCTGTTGTTGAATGTTATTCAACTCTCAACAACAACTATTATTAAAGATGCATTTCTCTAACCCCCTTTTTAATGTCTAATGGACTTTCTTACTAACAGACCCCAAACCGTTAGGATTAGCAGCTATTTTTCCTCCACTCTTGCTCTCAGCACTGGCTCTCCACAGGGCTGTGTGCTGAGCCCCCTTTTGTATTCACTCTACACCTTCGACTGCGCTCCCTCTTGTCCCACTAACTCTATAATAAAATTTGAAGATGACACCACGTTAGTGGGACTCATATCAGGAGAAGACGAGACGGCCTATAGGTCAGAGGTTCTCAGACTGGTCTTGTGGTGCAAGAGTCATAACTTCACCCTGAACTTCAAAAAGACCAAAGAATTGATTATAGACTTCAGAAGATGCAAAGCAGAACCCCTCCCACTATATATCAATGGAGACTGTGTGGAAAGAGTTCATAGTTTTAAATTTCTAGGAACTCATATTTCTGACAACCTTACTTGGTTGGTCCACACTATGGCCATTGCAAAGAAGGCCCAACAGCGCCTACACTTTCTGAGGTTGCTGAAAAAGAGTGGTCTGGGTGAGAAGTTGCTGGTTACTTTTTACTGTTCTACCATTGAGAGCATTTTGGCATACTGTGTAAACGGTATGGTATGCTGGATGCTCTGTAGTGGATAAGATGATGCTCCAGAGAGTTATAAACACAGCACAAAAAATCATCGCTTGCTCTCTTTCTTCTTTGGAAGAGATTGTGAAGACCAGACTCCTCTCTGGAAC